CAACTGCCTGAAGCATTAAAAAGGATGCCCAAGTATCTGTAAGAGAGAACTTGCTCTATATGGTGTTCTCCAATTCTCCATTTGTGTCTTTTCCTTTTCTCCCCAAATACCACCACCTTTGATTTTTCCACATTCACAGTTCGACAATTTAAGGAGCAATAGCTATCCAAAGCTCTTAACCATCTGCAAAAGCCTATCTGAGAATAGGACACATCTGCATAAAGTAATATGGACAAGTTCCTATTTCCTGCTTTACTGGAAAAAATTTTTCTCCACTCTGGGCTGGAACAATATCATTAAAAAATAGATTAAATAGTAAAGGTGCAATAACACAACCTTGTTTCACCCCTTTAAAAGTCTTGATATTATCTTCAGGTGCCCTGCTGGAGTGAACCTAACTTGAATTTGAATATTTGTATATAAAGCCATGATCAAAATTAATAGCCTTCTATCCAAATTCAACTGATCTAGCTTAATCCATAGTTTGTTTCTATCAATAGAATCAAAAGCTGCACAAAAATCCACAAAGGCAACATACAGTTTCCTGTGGGTGCGTTTTACATACTTATTTATCAGATGATCCAATATAAAACCATGATCAATTGTTGAATATTCTGCTCTAAATCCTGCCTGTTCCTCTGCAAGGACACTGTTATCAATGACCCAGTCCTCTAATTTATTAGCTAGATGTTTTACATAAATTTTAGCTGTGGTGTTAACGAGACTAATTGTTCCATAGTTCTCTGGGTGGCTACAATCATCTTTTTTGTATATTGGGATCATGATGCTTGTATTCCAACTAGAGGGGGGAACTACCTGTCCCACATGGTAATTTGCAATTTCCCAATGTGATAGAAGGACAAAGTATTAAATGCACAAGACCTTCTTATACTAACTGCATTCAGTTAGGTTTTGACCTGGTTCTGCCTATTTCTTTGTCCTAATCTTGCCCCTGTTAGGGAGTGCAGCCCTTAGGACATCACATCAACTCCTGGCCTGAAAAAGCTGTGCACCCTGGAGTACAGGATTGCTGTGTCTGGATTCCAGCTTCATTACTCCTACTTACCCATGTCTGCAATTCTCCATGCTGAAGGGCTCTCATTACCAATGAAAAACACTTCACCAGTTCCTCATATGAAGCAACGTCTTTGGGGGGAAAAGGTCAAGTGTTAAATAAAGCAAGAGCCTAACGCAACGTACATCAAGTGAATTTATGAAAATCCTTCACCCGCTTCCCTTACAGGCTGAACATCTCAAAATATATGGGAGGTAGAACCTAGAAATATACGTACTTCTCCATATATCACACCACAGCAGTTCAAGGAAATCAAGGTCTCCACGCTGACTAAAAAGCGTTTTCATTGAACCAATGACTGCAGCAGTGTTATCCTGGAGATTGAACAAAAGGAAGAACAGTATTTCAAAGTGAAACTGGATTTACTATCACTTTAGTTATTTAAATATGACAGCTCAAAGAAACTTCACAACCACATCTTTACATTAAGAAGAAAACCAGAAATAGAATTTTAAGATTCAAAATAACAAATTAACAATGTACATAAAGAAAAACTATCAACGTGGCAAGAAATATAATGTTCCTTCACCATCAACCCTCCCAGAAAGGGTGATAGAGACTCCTGATATAACTTCTGCCATTTCTAGCTCCCTCCCAACATCCTTTTTAAGTTCAGATCTTCAGGAATCCAGGGGCTGATGGGACTTTGCTTAAGAGAGGGATTTGGGAATTCTACATCAGCAGGAGCACCACTGAGCATTCCTCTTGAGCGTTCAGGATTTTTTCAGTCATCAGGAGAGCTGTTCCAGTGGATTCTCAATCCTTAAAGGGAGCCAGTTTAGTGTAGTGGCCTAGAAACCAGGAGACGGTGAGTTCTAGTCCCGTCTTAGGCGTGAAGCCGGCTGGGTGACTTTGCGCTAGTCCCTTTCTCTCAGCCCAGCCCACCTCACAGGGTGGTTGTTGTGGGGAAAATAAGAGGTGGGAGTATTAGGTATGTTTGCTGCCTTAAGTTAGTTTATTTATTTATGTATTTATATTTCAAATTTAGATACTGCCCACCTCATAAAAAAGTGACTCTGGGCAGTTCACAATAAAAAAGCAATAAATATTAATTAAAATACAATATAAACAATATAAAATAGAATAAAAATAGAATAAAACCAAACACACACACATGCATATATAAAGGGTGGGATAAATCATCATCATCACCATCCCCCAAGGTTTGGACAGCCCCAATCCTTCTGTCCTTCGGCAAGGTCCCAACAACTTGGCTCTTCCACCGAGCACTGGGCCAGACTGTGGAATGAGCCCGAGTAGAATTTAAGTCCCTTAGTTAGTGTTAGTTGGTTTCAGTTGCTTCTGTTATTCTTATTTGTTATTCCACTATGCTGCTGTTTTTTATCATCCAAAGATGTATTACACTACGTTACTTTATGTTGCATTTTTAGGCTCCTTGTTTTCATGTTTCTTCAAACTGTAAGTCACCCAGAGTCACACTAGTGAATTGGGTGCCCATACAAATCAAATCAAATCAAATCAAATCAAAACAAATCAATCAATAAAAAGGTGGTTACGGGAGCTGAAATCCAACACATTTGAAGGGAACCAAGTAGAGGAAGGCTCAAGAAAACGTCTCTCACAACCAACCTACATTTTCTTGTCCAGATACGAAAAAGCAAGTCAAGACTGCAAAGTGCTATGAGAGTCTGGCCAGTCACATGTAAAGGGAAGAGTTCCACAGCTGTGCAGGAGACTACAGTAACGAGGGGTGCTCCTGCTAGTTATTCAAGATAATGCAAAGCTCATTTCTCTGGAGTCTGCATTTCGAGTATGGAGTTACAGGAGGAAAAGGAAAAGCCACAGACAACTAAGTGGGAGACACCAAAACAAACCACAGCGACACCATCACTCACGCTCGATTAAAAACTGCAATACAAAGGGAAGGAATTTATAGCCTCCACAAGCAGTCTCTGACCATGCTCTGGTCCTAGAAACTCTCTCTGGAGATGTTCAGACACAACACTGAATCATATTTATAAATGCTTCCCCACCACCTCTAATGTGTTTGCAGGGAAAGGGGCTGAGGCCTCTTCAGGCAGCACCAAGGTAGGCTTCAAGTTAGATCCAAACACAGCCGTTGTTTGATGGGCTTGTCTCAGGATATGGGCTTGAGATTGCCATCTAAGTCCCCCACTCCAATTCCTCCTACATAAGCCTGAGTAAACAGTGGGATTTACACCTTAGCAAAATGCACAGGATAATTCTACCCTGTGCAACATTAAAGGCAGGTTAACAAATAATTAAAAACAGAAAACTCTACATGCCTAGAGATCATGTTTTTTAAATAAAATAACAAGCTGAAGTGAGCATGCTGAATAGGAGTTATTCCATATCCCAAACACTAGCAGATTCTTTGGAGATATATCCTCACAACGCCTTCAGACCTGCATTAGTAGAGTGCCATTTTAACCTTCAGCCAAAATTAATCTATTTTTGTAAACCCCTCTTTAGCTTTCTAAAAACAGAAAGATGAAAGAAGTGGGAGCAGGAGGTGGGGGGGGAGGGAGGCAACCTTAGTATTGTGACTGACAACCCCAGCTTTCAATCAGGGAATTGCTCTGTCAGGGCTTTTTGTCTTTCCAAGGTAAAGAGCTTCTAGAACTTAAACACAATGCAATATAAACTCCCTTTATACCCGGCTGGGAGTGGGTTCCAATGCAAAAGCGGGGCTTGACTCTGCCAGGGTATGCGTGACTTAGAGGTGAGTGTATGCAAGCAGAAGACAAGCTGCTGAGCCACTCAAGGTGGAGAGGAAACTGGTGGCCGCAACACTCTTTCCAGGTGGCCCTGGGAACAAACATCGTTGGTAGTGGTGGTGGGTATCAGCCCTCCAAGGTAGACCAAACTTGGAAACCAAAAACACGCAAGCTAATCTTACTTTTATTATAAGTTTATAGTAACAGAATCTTGCAAATCTGAATGCGCTTCCCTCCTCCCTCCCTTTTTCTTCCTGAGAACTAGAGAGGGGTCTGTCTGAGACGCTTTCTCCAATTACATTTCTGCCCTGGACTCAGATTTCTTTTATCGGTCGTCTTTGTTGCAGTTCTTCCTCCTGATCCTCAAGGTTATTCCTTCTTCCCATTACAAGTGAGACACCTGAAGTCAGCCTGCCTAAGAACACCCAGAAAAATTGGGGTAGAGATCTGTGTTGTAGGTCATATTACAAGCCACTAGAAAAAAGTAGCAAAGAAACTTAACAAGTTTAAGTGCCTAACAAAATAGACCCACCCCTTATATCCTCAAAGAAGCAGATACAGACAGTCCTCGTTTAGCGACCACAACTGGTACCAGCAACTTGGTCATTAAGCAAAGCAGTCACTAAGTGAAACTGTGACTGTGCTTATGATCTGTTTATGATTTGATTTACAGACCTCTTGACTTCATGTATAAATGACATTTAGGCAGCCAAATTATAATTATGATACAGATTTTACTTGATATTATTATATCTAAGATTTTTAATTAGACATGTTATGTGCATTTTTAGTTGTACTGGTCTATGACTGTAATAAACTGATTGATTGATTGATTTACAGACCACATGTTATGTGCATTTTTAGTTGTACTGGTCTATGACTGTAATAAACTGATTGATTGATTGATTTACAGACCACATGTTATGTGCATTTTTAGTTGTACTGGTCTATGACTGTAATAAACTGATTGATTGATTGATTTACAGACCTGAGGTGGTTGTAAATGCGAGGACTGGTCGCAAAGTTACTTTTTCATCACCATCGCAATTGTGAACAGTCACTGCACAAGGCAGTCACTAAACAACGACTACTTGTATTAAGCTCGGAAATAGGTTTCCCAAAAGATGTCTTTTGATTTTTCCATTCTAGTTGGGGGGAAAACTCATTCAAAGCTTCAGGAATGAAACAAACATGAGTCTTCAGTTTACCTGCATCCAAGTAAAATATGTCAATCTAAAGTTCTGATAGAATATTTTTCTGTTCACTATCTTACCAAATACCTCAGAATCATCTTCAGTCTTCAGTCCATCTACTTCATCCTTTAAATCTAAAGGAAAGAAAAGAGAAAGCTACATATTATGGCCATCAGCTTTAATGTAACAGAACATACAACTCTCATGCAACTCTGGCTGAAAGGGACATTTCCTGAACAGATCGATTAGTGGTGACATGGCATACTTACATCCATGTCACATGTTGGCTCATATGTGGTGTTTTCCATTTGGGATTAATGTGTTGGGTGAATCCAGCCACTGTAATTTACTCAACAAACTGTGATGGAATGGTTTGGTGAAGGCCGCGCTCGGGGAGATAAGCATTTCCTTAGCCCCC